TGCCCTAAATTTTCTTTGCAGCAACACAGTATTTTGGGTTTCAAGAGCAGAAAGAAAGAGTCAATTCTCTTCTGCGGTGACAGAAATGTTAGTCCATAGTATTTTTCCCTTACCTCTCCTGTCTCTATGTTCTACCTCAGCTTCATTTCAAGAGGTGGAACTAAATTTAATTCTCATGGAGCTACTTGTTACCAGAGAGCAGCGTCATTGTGTAGTAGTATATGGTTTGGTATGTTGGTTAGTAATTATCAGGGGTGTGCGAAGCAGGCCTTATTCGATTTGGATTTGGATTCAGCCTGAATCAGGGACAGTGATTCAATTTGTTGATTTGGATCACTGTCCCTGATTCGATTCCGATGAATCCGAATCGGAAGACTCGATGCTGATTCAGAGAATCAGTGATTTGGCCAGAGACATGGCTTTAAATGTTTTTTCTACATACCTCATGGTACCAGCGTGGCTTGTGAATACTGTGATGGTGGGGTGCATGGAACGTCCCACAGGAGTGTGGGGGAGCTCCTCCAGGTGCTCGGCGGTGAACCCGGAAGTGCACCAGAGCTACTTCTGGTCCACTTCTTGGTCCGCTGGGGAGCATGTGCGGGAGTCCCCCAGAACCACCCCAGCTTAGAGACTGGCTGTGGGGGGACCCCAGGTGCCCCCCCCCCAGACCCAGGAGGCACCAGTTTGCTGAGCCAGGAAGGGGAATGCAGGGCCCCAGCACATTCCCTGGCAGACCTGGAAGTGGATTGGAAATGCTTTTGGTCCACTTACGGGTCTGCTCCTGAGTGCGCTGGGGAGCACCCCCATGCTTCGGTGGGATGCTCCATGTACCCCAGCACTGCTGCGTCCATGAGTCGCCTGCTACCTACAGGTATGCAGAAAAACATTTAAAGCTGTGTCTATGTCTGAATCACCGAATTGATTCAGAGGGTTCTGATTTGATTTGGAGAGAGTAAAGTGTCCTTTGATTCAATTCGGAGATTTGGCCACCAAATTGGGACGAATCTCCGCTGAATCAAATCAGGGACCGAAGCTTCGCACAGCCCTAGTAATTATTTCTGGTAATATGTGGTCTCTTGAACCCCAACCCTTCAGTACAGAACAGCCTATCACAAATAATTCAGTTTGACTAGCAGTCTGCTCAGGAACTCAAGAACCCAAATTAAGCACTGGGATACACTAACGTATCTCAGTGAGCTTGAAGCCTGCTCCTTGCATTAGTGTCTCTGGTCTGTCACTTTTTTGGATACTGCATTGCAGTCACCCAAAACTTGGGCTAGCAAATAGTAGCCAGGTTCCTAGCATAGTAGAAACAAAAGTAGACACGGAAATCTTGACATTTCCTAGAATTTTAATGTTGGTAATTTAGACCCTATCTACATTAAACCAGACACATTATTTGCTGAACTAGTTAAACATCCACTTTTAAGCAAGTACATGCTAACTCAGCTTAATTTATATCAGGACAGGTTGGGTATCAGTGAAGAACTGGCCTTTCAGAAAGAAAAGTGTACAGACCAGCAGCATAAACTAAGTGTGGCTGCTTTCCTGACACCTCTTCTGGGATCTGAGGAAAAGAACCATAAATTGAAATTGGCTGAGAACACAATGAAAAGTTCTAGATACACAGATCCAGTCTCTTTTGGATCTTTGAGGAAAGCAAAGTACTTTGAGAAGGAAGTTCTTAGGGATATTTTGAGCTGGTTATTTTTTGTTGCATTTTAAGAATGCATAAAAAAGCAAAGCTTGCAAAGGAAATAAGGGCAATTAACAACCTGTTTGTTGCTTTCTATGATAGTCTGCAACTATTTTGCAGGAAACGATTCAATAGAAATACATTTTGATAAATGTTACTCACTAGTTAAAATGAAAATTAAAATGTTAATACTTTTAGACTGGTTATTGACGTTTTCTGATATCCAATTAAACAAGTAAAGAAGGGATGATATTCTGCTCCTGCCCGTTTCAATCCTTGTGAGTTTTGTTCTTAGTTAATACACAAATATAAATAATTTTTCCTGAGTAAATTTTCAACCATAAACAGCCTTAACAACAGAACTGCACTTAATAATAATCCATGTATGGTTCATTAAACAGACTATTTTATTGACTTAGCTTATTACTCTATATTTTATTTCTATATGAAATAAATCTACTTTTGAATAGTTATAATCCAATGCAATGGAGCAGAGTGAGCAACTATAAAAATTTGGAGATGCAGAAAAGTACATATACCTCCATAAATATCAACAATCAATCCTGATAAACACAAGAAAAAACAAACAAAGAGCCTCAAGGATAAAACCCATTACTATCTGTGAGGGAAGACGTAAGGTCTAGATCAGGGGTAGGCAACCGTCAGCACAGGTGCCAGAACATGGCTCATGAAAACATTTTGCTTGGCACACGTGCCTCGGAGCACATGATAGGGAAGGGGCCAGGGCTGCACTGCCACAACAAGGGTCTCTCACGGCTCCCCCGCCATCCACCTCTGGCACTCCAACATCTTACAAGTTGAGGTGGTGGGTGTTTTTGGTAAACTGCCCAAAAACGTTGCTGACCCCTGGTCAAGAAAGGAAACCTTTCTTTGGGTAGTATCTTTGCCCTGGTAATCACTGATCAAAAAGCCTTGTACAAAATCCCCTAATATGCACAAGCAATATATAAGCTGTTATAGTATATGGTTCAGATAAAAAAAAAGAACAGACTTAAAACCAAACCCTTAAACCTGAAATGAACTCTGGCAGAAATTCACAAACTGTTCATTCTCATGCTCCTTTGGACAAAAGCAAAAGTGCTGAGAATCTCACAACAAAGACAGTTCCTGTGGGATTTTTTGGCCCTTTCTTTTCCTGAACCCAAATTTTGGGTAGTTCAGACAAGGTTTGTACAAGCATAGGAACAAATTTGCACTTGTGATTCACCCCAACTAACTGGCAGTGAAGCACCTGGATTGTTTATTGGACCTGCTGTTTTGTCAGTCAGTCTGTGTGTACAGTTGATCTGTACTGTTTTAGCTCACCCATAAGCAAAGGAATTGCCCTACCAGATGCAACCAGTGGTCTGGCCAGTTCACCATCTGGGGCCTGGCTGGATATGGACACATGAAGCTGCTTCAAAAGAGGAACATATCAGAAGGGTGGCAGGAGTTAGGCTCCAATTGTTATATATGTCAAGCTGGGAAAACTAAAAGTATAAACCACTCCAATTTCAGGGTTGCTTCATTCTGGGTAAAGTTAGAGTGGTTTTGTTACAGTTGCTGCCCTTTTGAAAATGGCTTCAACTGTATATGTCCATACCCTCTCACTGCTTTTTGGCTTCTGCAACTGAGCAAAGTGATGGCCAAATGCTACCGCTCCCATGAAGCAACTCTTAACGTTCACCTTGTGCTGTAAATGACCAGCAGATGACTATCTTGTGCACAGGTTTTTACAGTGCAAACAGGAGTGTCCGGTTTAATCTCTCCATGTCCTTCCAGTGTCTCCCCTCATTTATCACCTCTCTAAACTAAACCATTACAGTCTTTTAATGGTCTCTGTATGCAATAATCTGTCCATACCTCTAATCCTTTTTTATCTAGGTATCTTTTTGGTCTAAATAATATCCATGCTCCATAAGATAAGTGCTCAAACTATGTGACCCCCCGGGCCAGGTCCCACACATTAGGTCAACTTGTAGTGTTGGTCCACACATGTGAGCCCATGCAGTCCTGTAGCAAGAGGGCATCAAGCAGAGCGACCGCCCCAGGTGTAAAACCAAAGGGGCTCCAACATGTATTGCCCAGCCAGGGCTAGATGTGGGATGAAGCTGCGAGCGGCTTGTTTGGGGAGGTGCAGGGATGGGGGAAGGGTGGCTCCTGCCACTGCATGCAATCTCAGGCAAACATGGGGCAGGGGAAGTGGGTGTCCCCCAGATCTGTGCACAGGGCAAGGGTGGGCTGCCACTGTGGGCTTTGCCCCAGGTGCCAAATTTTGTTACTATGGCACTAAGCCCATGCACCAGGCCAACCACACGCATGGTCTGACTCCAGACACTGGCTTGACCATGCACTGGCACAATCAAGAACACAGATCCACATCATCCAGGCTGCAGGGCTCTTCATGAGTCTGGGAATTTGGCAGCAGGGAAGTGACAATTAACACTGCCACCACTCCCCTGCCACCAAATTTCTGGACCCATAGGAATACCTGCAGGCCAGATGGCGCAGCTCCATGGACCAGACAACCAAATAACCAGAACTTCCCCCCCCACCCCCAAGTGTTAAGATTAAACTTAACAATAAACATTTTGAATTCTTTCTTTGAACTTTCCATATGTCAACCCTAAATTGCATCTGTCATCATGCTGCCCACTCACCTAACTCTGTTAGGTCCCTGTAGAGCTCTTTATGGCATTCTTTAGTCTTGATTAATTTAAATAATTGTGTGCCATTTGCAAAATGTGTCACTTTTGTGCCCACCCCAATGTCCAGACTGTTTCTAACTACTTACTAAACAGCAATGAATGTAATGTGAAGCAAGTTCTTTCAAGCATTCATAATTAACCTTTGCCATGCTGAAAATGACCTATTTATTCCTACAAATTGATTTTTGCTTCTTATCTAATTTCTAACCTGTGATAACACTTTATACCATAAATACTTCATTTCCTTATTCTAAACTGTGTTCCCAGAAGGCATCCAATTAGTTTATACATGGATAATAGAAGCTGTGTACTATGTCATCAGTACTGTTTTCCTAATTAGGTGGCTGTTAGTGTTACATACAATATAATCTATAATTTTAACCAGAGCAGTAAAAGAGAAGCCAAAGCAAGTTCCTCCAAACTATGCATCGATTTGTTGGGATATTATCAGTCAGGCAACATTACCAAGACCAGGTGACAGAGAATATAGAGGTATAATCACTACTGGGTGGTGAGAACTCAGGCCCCTCAGAATACATCCTCATAGCTGAGCCAAATTCCAGATTCCCACACCTATGCTTTTGTATATAGTTCAGACTCAAGTTTCTGTATTCCTGCCCATTTCTCTGATAGAACAGCATCTTGGCCAATTTAGTAGGGAGCGGGGAAACTGAGTCATGACCTGTGACCACTGTTCTTTCCTGGAGTTGCCTTATTAGCATTGGATGTGATCACAGACCTATGTATCTCAACTCCCTTGAAACTGTTCCTCACAATCCCCCTTCTCTCTAATTATTGAGATTCAGATTGAACTGCTTCTGGGATCAGAGTATCCCTGAGGAGGAACGTAGCGACACACCCAGCACAGCAAAAAGGGGGAAGGTTGTTCAGAACTCCCCAGTATTAGGATAACACAAACAGTAATATTTGTATTCTTGGAACATAAGAATTGGATCCATGTAGATTTAGTCCATGTTCCTCTCCCTCGGCTTGTAAACTGACCACCTGTTATAGCTTATAGCCAAACATTACTGAATTGTTACAGAAAAATCTTGCTAATTTATTCTAACCATTATTATTCAAGCAAAACCTAACCTTGGTTATTAATCAATGGCTTACTCTTTTGTTAAGTCTTTTTAGTTAAGAGACTCTTTGATAGTATAGGCCACAACCAATGTTTCTCATATGTACCAGTACAATGGGATCTTCATTTTGATTTGGACCTTGGGTACTATTGCAAGATAAATGTAAGGTCATTAATATTAATATAAATGAATGAATATAGGTATTGTGAATTATTAATATTAATGATCCATGCTAAATCTTGACCGTGTCTTTTTTAGCACTCCCTACACTTAAAGTACATAGATGTCCTTCACAGTAAACTTTTTATATGAGCTGGTTAGAATTTGTTTTTTTCCAGATTATCAAGGCTTTTTTTTTTTTTTTTGCCAGACACTTAATGATCACCATTTAAAAAGGCATACATTGTAATGAGCTCATTAAATTGAAGATTTAGGTCAGCGTTCTCTGTGGGTGAACAATTAACAAAATACATTAGCAATTAAAAATGTGACCAACATTTTAGGATCAACAGGTCAACGTTCCTATTTGATAGGTCTTGAAGGCCACAAGTATATTTTAGCCTCAAGACAAATGCCAAAGGATCGTGTGACTGGGCAACTATTACACTATGAGCAGTTCAAGGTTTAAATAGCAAGGGGGAAATTCCGATGCTTATGCTGAGCATTTTTTTGCTGCAGGAGTAGTCCAAGGCCACTCTTGACCTACTCCAAAGTAGTGCACAGGATTCAGCAGAAAGGATAGGTGCTAGTGAGCTGCTTGGCAATAGTGACTGCAGTGCAGTTGGGTTTGACCTCCATGCAAGAGGGGAGACAAGAAGAAAAACTACCACAGTAGACCTTAATTTTAAAAAGGGAGAGTACACCAAAATGAGGAAGCTAGTTTGATAGATGTTAAAAAAGGGCTCTAAGAAGATGAAGAACTTATAAGCAACATGGGAACTGCTTAACATCATAGTGGAGGCACAAAGTAAATGCATACTGCAAATCAAAAAAAACAACCCAAAAGAAAAGGAAAGCAAACCAAAAAAAAGCTAGTGTGGTTTAGTGGCAGAGTTGTAGAGGCAATAAATAGAAAAAAAAGGCTTCTTTCAGAAGGGAGAAGTCTCATCCTAATGAGACAAATGAAAAGGCGCATAAACTCTGATAAATCAAATATAAAACTGTAATAGGACAAGCTAAGAAAGAATTTGAGGAGAAACTTGCTAGAGAGACACAGAAGGCAACACTAAAAATTTCTTCAAGTACATTAGAAACTGAGGACCTGCCATGGGGTTAGTTGGGTCTTTGAATGATCAGAGTCTAAAAGTGGTGCTAAAGGATGACTTGGCCATTGCCAATAAATTAAATCCATTCTTTGTATCTGTCTTCACTGTGGAAGATGCTAGGGAGATTCCCCTCATCAGATCCACTCCTATCTAGGGACAAGCCAGTGGAGCTGACACAAATTGAGGTTTCAGCAGATGAGGTAGTAGAGGATATTGGTAAACTAAACAGTAGCAAACCATCAGTACCTGATGGCATTCACCCTAGGGTCCTGAAGGAGCTCAGATCAGAAATTGCTGAACTCCTAGCCATGATGTGTGTGCAACCTATCACTAAAAACAGCTTTGATACCAGAGGGCTGGAGGGTTGCCAGCGTGACTCCCATATTTTAAAAAAGGCTCTACAGGGGATGCAGAGAGACTACAGGCCAGTGAGTATAACTGCTGTTTCTGGAAAGCTGGTAGAAACAATAAGTAATAAAAAGAATTGTTCAGCACATGGCTGAATATGAGTTGCTGGGGAGGAATCAACGTGGTTTGTCAAAGGGAAATCTTGCCTCACCGACCTACTAGAGTTCTTTGAGTATGTCAATAAGTAGGTGGTTTGGTGGGATCCAGTTGACATAGTATAGCTGGACTTCAAAAAGCCTTTGACAAGGTCACCTGAGTCTCTTAATGAAGCTGGGTAATCAAAGGATTGCAGGGAACATCCAGTCATGGATTAGAAATTGGCTCCAGGATAGAAAGCACAGAGTGAATACAGGTTTCAGAGTGGAAAGAAGTAAACAGTGGGGCCCCTCAGGGATCAGCGCTGGAACCAGTGCTGTTTAACTTATTCCTAAATGATCTGGAAAAGGGGGGTAAGTAGTAAGGTGGCCAAATCTGCAGATGACACAAAATTATTTAAAGCAGTAAAGATCAAAGCGGACTGTGAGGAATTACAGAAGGAATTGGCACAATTGAGCAAATGGGCAACTAAATGGCATATGAAATTCAGTGTGGAGAAGGGTAAAGTGGTGCACCTGGCAAAAATAACCCAAACTATACATACAATGTTATAGGCTCTACATTAGCTGTTAAACAGGAGAGAGAACTGGGAGTCACTGTGGACAGTTCACTAAAAACATCAGCTCAATGTTTAGCAGCTATCACAAAAGGCAAACAAAATGTTGGAGATTATTAGGAAAGAAATTGTAAACAAAATTTTATAAATCGATGGTGTGTCCACACCTTGAATAGTGTGTCCAGTTCTGGTCTCCACACTTCAAAAAGGATATAGAAGAACTAGAAAAGGTACAAAGAAGGACAACAAGGATGATTGGTGGTATGAAGGGGCTTCCATATGAGTACAGACTAAGGAGGATAGGCCTATTCCATTTAGGAAAGGGGATCTAGGGGTGGAGGGGGACACATGGGACATGGGACATAAGGGTTTACAAAATTCATATGGCAAAGAGAAAGTAAATGGGGATTTATTAGTTACTATCTTTCACAATACAAGAACTAGGGATCCCAAAATGAAACTAGTAGGTAGTAAGTTTTAAAACTAACAAAAAGAACTTTTTGACACTGTGGGCACGTCGACATGAGACACTTAAAGTGCAGAAGACTAATTCTATTGTGCATTAGCATGTCAGGCAAAGCCCATGCTAACGCACTGTAGATTTAGTCCAATGCGCAGTAGCGTCACCAAAAAAAGGTTCATCTGTGCTAATGTGCAATAGTGCTGATTATGCCGCATTAAGTTAGTACCTGTCATTACAAGTACTAAACTTAATGCACAATAATTACGGCACATTAATGAATGTGTAGACATGCCCAGTGTGTAAATAAAGTGTAAAACTCATTGCCACCAGATGTGGAAGCTGACAGACTAGCCAAATGCAAAAAAGGGGTCGGACAAATTCTTGGAGGAAAGGGGCATCATTAGCTATTGAGCATGAGAGTTGGGGATACAGCCTCTTAATGTTACACTTTACTTCCTACACCTTAAATGCTGGAGGCTACAAATGAGAGAGGAACAATGGAAAACAACCTGGTCATACACTGTTCAATCTCCCTCTCAGCATCCATTCTCTGCCACTGTGACCTAGGAAACTGGACAAGATGGACCTATAGTCTGACCAATTAAACAGCAGTTCTTATATTGTTATGCAAGAATAGCAAAGGTGGGTCTTCAGGAAGCAGAACAAAAATACAGCCATGAAAGGAGCAATGGGAACATTCAAAAATAATGTTTGAAAATGAGAGACAACATAGGTTAGAACAGGGGTGGGAAAAATATGGCCTGTGTGCTGGATCCAGCCCACCAAGGGATTCTGTTCAGCCTGCAGCAGGTCTCTTGGCCCCAACTGGCCAAGACATGAGGGGCAGCCTGGGCCATGGTATGTGCAGCCAGTCCTACTGCCCGTGGGCATGCATCAGGTCTGGGGTGGTGTAGCACCCAGACTCAGTTACCAGGCAGCCCTGGCAACAGCAGCTCCTTCTGGCTGCTGCTGCCAGTGTTGCCACTGCCACTGGACCCAGATCATTGCCCTGGCACCCCTCACCTACTGCAGAGGGCACTGGATGGAGTAGGTGGGCAAGGTTTCCATGGAGACTGGCCTGGGACCCCTGTGGGCAGGGTATACTTGGCCAGGCAGATGGGATGGGCCTATGGGCAGGTAGGGAACAGCATCCAGGAGAGGGATGGGTGTGCAGTGGCCAGGGCTGGGGCTGAACTTGCTGTACTCAGAAAAGACCCCTGAAGAACAGAACTGAAGTACAATAGCAGTAGATGCTAGAGCTGCTCTGTAGTGCAAATAGGGTAACACGGGCCTTTGATTTTTATTACAAACCTTTTTAGGTAATGTTAAAGGTCAGCAATAACTGCACATAGTATTAGCAGTAATAGTCTGTCCAGCAAGGCTGTTTGTCCTAAATTGGTTGCCTGAAGCCCCCATAAAAATGCATCAGCTGATCTTACAATACACATTAAAACAGCGCTCCGGAACATTAGTGCAAAGTGGAATTTATACCCTGTTAAAATTATACAGAGCAACCCTCCTGGCTTTAAAATTATTTTTAGAAATAATTTGCCCACCCCCTGTAATTGGCTTAAATAGGCTAGGAGAGTATTCCATCTTTCTTTTTACATTAAGGTATTTTAATTAACATTAAAAGGACTACTTGAAATGGAGAAATGCAAAGAAATTCTGAGTGATCCACTCCATCCTGCATTCTGAACTTTTAGAAGGGTTCTTAATGTCCCCCCCTCCCAACAATGCTTCAGCTCATAACTGATGGGGGAACAAAACAGGGAGCCATAACTTAGAAATATTCTTGCTGCTATAGATTCAGACAAGAAACTGCATGCAATGTAGTTGAATTTGGGGATGGATGCAGCTTTATTAATGTAAGGAAAAGTTATATCCTTCCAGAAAGAATCACTAGTGAAGCAGAAATTGCACAGTGAAGAAACTCAAGTCACCTTCTTCCTCCATACCTGAACTGGTTCCATTCTGCTATAAAAGAAGCAGCAAAAGAAAAGACAACAGAAAAATGTAAGGAATCTACACAGGAGATCTAAGCCTTTTGCATATGGTGTAGTACACCATGAAGCTTTCCACTGCTTCCTGACATGCTGTTCTTGCAGAGACAGCATGAGAAACTCATGCTGTTTTTGTGTACTGCTCATTACCAACTGTGAGCATGCAAAGTCAGCAAGGTTTCCCTTGCCAGACACCCATCGTGTGGTTATAATAATTGTCCATGGTGATGGTGTTTCTTCCCACTCCAGATTCTATGGACACCCCATCCACCACAGAGATAAGCCCACCTACTCTGGCTGGTACAACAGAATGGTAAGAGATGGCAGTGGAATAACTCCTTATTTACTTACGTAGAAGTGATGCTAGAATCAGGCCCTTCAAAGTTAACTATGGGAGCACAGGGAATCAACCTGTAAGTGGCTATGACCGAAAATGAAAGACAATTAACTGGGGGGGGGGGGTTTAAAAATTCAGATGATGTTTCTTCCAGTTCCATTTTTTTTCTCATTTTTATACATCTCAGATACTTTAAGTTTATACTCAGGTGGCGTGTCTACACATGCAAAAGATCCGGGAACAGTTTACTCTAGAGTAAACTACTTGAGAGTAAATGCTTCTAGGCATGTGTCTACATGTGCAGAGCCATGGGAACAGATTCACTGGTACTAGCAGCAGACTGCTTCCACTCCCTGCAGCCCTGCAACTGGCCCCTGCAGCAGTCAGGGGGAGCTTTAGTCTCCTCCTGGGTGCTAGCCCAGGGGCCAGGAGACAGCTGTCTCCTGGCGGGGGCTGGGATATTCCTCCCTGCCCCTGGAAGCTGCCTGCTGCTGGGGCAGGCTCTGCCACTAGAGCCCAGGCAGGGACAATGTCCCCATGCCCCAGCAGCAGGGAGCTCCCAGCCCCTGCTCTGTGGTTGCAGGGCTGGGGCTGGCAGATCCTTACCTCCCAGTCTGAGCCCCACGGTCACAGGACCTGAGCTGAGAGATCTTTATCTCCCAGTACTAGCTCTGTGGTCATGGTGCCAGTGCTGGGAGATCCTCATCTCTGTGAGAGAGTGAGAGAGCCCGTGCCAGAGCCAGAAGCAGCTACCTTAGACCCACAGCCCCAAAGGACCTGGCTGAAACCCTTCATACCCAGGTGTTTCTGGAGGGAAGGAGCTGGGAACTCAACCCACAGCATAAAGAGGAGGCCAGGGCAGACAGGGGGGGAGGGCGCAGGACCGGAAGCAAAGGAGCCAGGCCGAACAACGCTGGAGGAATCTATGAGAGCTACATGGAGGGCTGGCAAGAGGCTCCTGCAGAGAGGGAACTCCCTGGAGGAGCTCTAGAGGAAGGTAAGGTGGACTGGGAGGGTCAGGAACTGCCTGCGATCTCCTTGGCAGCCAGCAGAGCCCAATGGAGAAAAAGGTACTGTAAAGACTCTAATAGAGGGGCACTATTAAAGCCTGGTACCATAGTGACCCTAAAAGGGGTACAAGGAAAAATTATAAATGATGACCTCAGTGAGATGAGGGTACTGTGATGACCCCACTAGAAGGCGCAAGAGGCGTGATCCTATGGACATGCACAGGGGAAGGAGAGAGTAGTCACACTGACATTTTGTTTCTTTGTTTATTGCCAAAAGCCGGGTGACAATCCTCCAGGACAGGAGGCGTGGGTTCCTTTCATTTTTTTTAAGGTAAAGGCCCCGGGGAGGAACCCAGTGGCTGAATACAAACCCGAGGATGCCTAGACAACCGGTGGACCGGGCAAAGGTGTAGGGGTGGTGGAGCCCTCAGCGTCATAGGACAGCGGATGACAACTAGCCATCCAGGTACTGAACATCTTCCTATAAACACCAAAGACATGGCAGGCGAGAGCGTGCATGTGTGGATCTCTGTCTAAGACTCGTCCCTCATTTCAGCCGGCGAGCTTAGGTCCTATGAAAACACGCATCTAGATCAACTGTCTATATGTGTGTACAGTTCTCGGGAGGAGGAGAAAACAAAGGAAAAGTCTCAAGGACGCTTGGGAAGGACAAACTACCCAGTTGGCCACTTGACAATCTCCCAACCTAAGCCCTGTGGTTGTGGGACCCAGGCTGGAGGATAAAGCTCTTCTCCTAGCCCATGTCCTATGATGATGGGGCTCTGGCTGGGAGATGAGGATCTCTCAGCCCAGGTCCCATGACTGCGTGGTTCAGGCTCCCTGCTGCTGGGGCAGGGGGACATTGTTCCCACCTGGGCTCCAGTGGCAGAACCTGCCCTGGCAGCAGAGAGCTCCTATCCCCTGCTGCCCAGGAACACATTTGCTCTCAGTCAGGCATCTACACATGTGCTAATGTGCAGTTATTAATCAAGAGTAAATTTGCTACTTGCATTTGCAGGTAGCATATTTACTTGTGATCAGAGAAATTTACTGAGCAGTAAGTGTCTGCGTGTGTAGACATGGATGCTTACTGCACAGTAATTAGCTCTACTGTGCAGTAAAGCATTTTGTGTAGACATGCCCAGTAAATAGCTGTATTGAATGTTTTTTCAAACCATGTTGCAGGAGGACCTAACAGATCCACAGGAGCAAAAACAGTTGGAAACATACTGTGCAAGAAAGGTAGTTCTGGTACTCCAGATATGATTAGGGGCAGAAGGTACTGCAAGAAAACCTGCTCTTACAAGATGTCCAACTATTTGGAAAGGACAGATACAGTTGACATAAACACTGGACCTTTTGTTTCTGCTCAAGTGAATGGTAGCAACCTTTTTGCAAGCCTCCAAAACACAACCAAACTTTTTGGTGATAATCCTTGAGAATATTTTAACCTCCTTGGACACTCCATCACTGACAGCAGCATAGCTGTCTTTAAATAAGATAACTTTAAAAACCAATTTGAACAAATAGTTGCAGACTAAGAAAGCAACCACAGACTGGATTCTGTTACCCATAGTCTCAACAAGGAGTATGCATTCTTATCCCATTACCTGGACTATCCGTTAACTCCAGCATCCCTCAAAGTGGTACCAGCCTTTTTCATCTCAGCTGATCTAGTCCATTCACTTCTACCTCTCTTAACAGTATCTTCTCTCCCTTCCCCTTCTGTTTAATCCCTTTCTTTCTGCCAGTCCATTCATAGCATCTAATGAAGTTGGTTCTTGCTTATGAAACCTTATACCTCTCTGAATCAAACTCTGGTAGGCTGCCCTACCCTGCCTTCTGCCTAACAGCAGAATGAATTACTCTATTTACTCAAATACAAGATGAGGTGTGTCCCCCCCCACTCCCAGTTAGCATGGGGGAAAAGCCCCTCATCTTATAATTGCATAAAAGGAAACCTCATTAAATACACTGTCTACCATTAAATTGCTGCCAAAAGCAGCATATAATTAAATGCAGCTAATACTGAACATGATTATAAAATACATGGTTTACACTGGGCAAACATGCTGATGGGAACTTTTTTTTTTTGGCCCTTAAAAATCATGGGTGGGTGTTTCCTCCAAGGGGGACTGGCACTGGGCCTGGAGGTACTGTAGTACCAGGCCAGCACTGGGGGACTAGAGCCAACCCTGACACCTTTCCCTTGATGCCCAAAATGCTTGATCTTAGCTAAAAGACAGAGACACTGATGGAAACCTTTTTTTTTTTTTTGGTCTGTTTTTTTTTGCACCGGTCCTGGAAACACTGCAATACCAGGTCAATGCATGGAGTGG